GAACATATAATCTGATCATCCAATGATTCCAGATTTTATGCTCACCTTGTATATTCATATAATCATGTCCTGGGAGGATCTTGCTATTTAAATTTCCAAGAATGCGATGCAATAAAGAGCTCCGTATGTTAATTTTGGCATGTTAAGCCGGATAAAGCAGGGGGCCTATCCTGATGTTGCGACACCAAAAGAATAATTAAAGCAGCAGATCAACAGCGATACTTTTACAAATGGGAATATGAGTAGATATTGCACACACTACGCACTTTAATTTTTGTTTCTCTTTAGCAAAAAAAAGCTAAGTATTTTTTTAATGGCTAATTTGTGCTGCTTAAGAAAGTAGAGGATAGACATGGGCGATGTTTTCATCGGTTTGCCCTTTCAAAACTTGGAAAACATCCCCATTCCTTTGAAATTTTGCAAATACGATAAGCTATAGTCTCGCATGAATTAATANACGCGGGGGGGGGGGGGGGGGGGGCGGGCATGTTCGCAGGTGGCCGGGTTCTCACTCGCCACCTCGCAGATGTGGCCTGGCTCGTGACGATATATGGGAGGGAAGTTGTATGGGGATCTAATCTCGATCCACACCGACGACATGGGATTAAGGAGCCCGGAGAGACGCAGGTCCGCTCGATGGCGAGAAAATTATTGAAAGCCTCTTCAACCCTGAGTTTGTGGAAATATTTCGTATCGCAACCGAGTTATTTATTTTTATCATCGAATTTAAAGAGCTGAGTTGGAAATTGCAGGCAAAGGCTCTTTAAATTCGAAAAGCGGTTTTTCGAACTCGTCAGGTTGGATGGTGGGTGGATCGGATGGGACCTTTGTTTTAGAATAAGGGTTGACCTTTAACGTTGACCTTTGACGTTGATTCGTGATCATCTGGTGAGTCATTGTGCTTATTTTTGGAAGATCTCGTGGGGATCATCGGGGAAATGGGAGAGGCTCTGTTTTGATTCGCATTAGATCTGGGTGCTTTGTCAACTCCATCGGTATTTTTTGAAATTCATTTCAAGCGGGTGATTACTCGCTCTAAGCAGGCGATTCTTCACTTTAAGCAGGTTATTCTTCACTTTAAGCAGGCGATTCTTCGCTTTAAGCAGGAGCGGTGATTTTAAAACCTCGGCAGCTAAATAAGGTCAATTTGGAAATTGAGACACATCCGACGTGACGACAAAGGAGAAATATGGAGTTCTCGCCGGATCAGATGAGCTCAAAGGAGCGAAGGGAGGTGCTCTGTTGGAGGTGCCCGTCAAGCGCCATCCAATATGAGGCGCCCGCCGTCATTCCTTCGCGTTATGACCCTTCGGACGACGCCTTGCACTTATCGTCTATTTTTTTTCCTGCGTAGTTCGTCGGGAAAGGGCGGGGCAGGTTTTATTCGGGGGGAATAGCGGGCGTCGTCCTTGGGACGCATCGAAGCTGATTCCCATGGCGAATCCAAAGGCATTAGGGTATCCGAGAGGGTTGGAGGAAGGTCGGGGAATCCGAGGCTTTCCCTTCCGTGTGTGTCCTCCTTGCCCTTTTCAATCTGGGGGTTAATCGGATTTGGGCCCTCTCTCTCACCTGTGCCTTGCCTTGTCTTGGATTTCTGGGATTTCCACCTCTTGCTCTCTTCCGGGTTTTCTCATTCCTTCCGCTTTGATTGGATGCCGCTGTGAAGGCACACATTAAGGATGCCGCTGTGAGGACTCAATTTACTGTTAGATTGTTAATAAGCTATTCTCTATCCTCGGAGATTTCCATTTTAATCAGAATCGAGAGCTTCAGTTGCATTTCGTGCCATTCTTTTTGTTTGCTTAACACCACGCCGTTTTATTTAAGTTGAAGACCCTAAGCTAGAATCCAAATAGTTTTCCTCAGCGCCTTCCCCAATCCAACGGTGTATAGGGTACAGAAGCCATTAGTGCAGCATAAGGAAAGGGATAACGTCCGAGAGAAAGGGAAACGGGATTCCCCTTGAAAAGCGGGATTACCATCCTCCACGGGGTCCTGATCGGATTCCCCGGTCCCGATCCGATTCCCCGGCCTTGTTAGGCCCGCTCAATGGCAGGATCCTTGTTGCCTCCGCCGAGTCTCGAATCGTTTCCGTGTCTGACTCCGTCGGCTGCAAATTAAATTGTGAATTTCTCGCGCTTGAGTCATGCGAAGGCATCGAGTTGTTTTTATATTAAAGTAAAATCAGCACCGAGACTTGGTAAAAACCCCATGCAATTTATTATTACTTCGGGTGTCCAGAAAGTAATGAGAATCGTTTGTAAATTTTTAATTCTACATGCAGTGCACTTCTCACTCCTTGGGCATTTAGAACAATATGTAATCTCTGTGATTGCCGATTTTCAAGTCGATCCGTTAAGTGCTTACAGAGCAGACCTCGAAAGACAGCTCTATAAGCTCAGTGCAACGCGAGCTCTTTTCAACGATTTGGATATGGCTACAAGCGCTGAGAACTTTCTCTTCTATGCGTTCACGCGGTTCAAACTTGGCATTGCCGCCGCTGCGTAGCGTTGATGCGAGTCGCTTTTTTGTCCTCAGTCAGTCGGTGCGGTACCCAAACTGATGCCTCGTTGCACAGTTGCAGGTCTTGTGTGAGCACCTCGTGGATGGGGCTCTTGCCAACGTCGAGCCGCTCGGCCACCTCTCGAGAGGTCACTTGGCTGTCCTCATCCACCAGCTCTCGAGAGGTCACTTGACAGGTCTCATCCACCAGCTCTCGCAGCGTCTGGACAGGCTCTGGTGCTCGGGTGGACCTTGGATGGTCACTGTGGGGCTGGTCAAGGAAAAGGAAGGCTCCTCCTTTTCAGCTACTTCTTTGAGGCTGCTGAACCGCCGGAAGACGGTATACTTGCCAGGAGCGTCATCGCTACGGTTCCGTGTCACAGGCAGCCACCGTGATGCCATGTTTGAACCGCTTGAACGCGTGGAAGCGAAAGTTCTTAGCACTTGTAGCCATATCCAAGTCGTTGAAATGAGCCCGCGTTGCAATGAGCTTATAGAACTGTCTTTTGAGGTCTGCTCTGTGGGCTAAGCACTTCTTATCGGATCGACTTGAAAATCGGCGATCACAGAGATTACATATTGATATAAATGCCTAAGCAGGGGGAAGTGCAATGCTTGCAGAATTACAAATTTACAAACGATTCTCATTACTTTCCGGACACCCGAACTATTAATAATAAATACCACTATCAATAATACTAGTATTTTTTTTTAATGCTACTAAGTAAGTAAATGAAATGTTCCCGGTGCGTGCCTACGTGCCTAGTTTTGCCTCGCGATCGCCACCGGAAATTGATAATTCTCCCCCTCTGTCAAATCGATGACGATTCCCTCCCTGTCCAATTGATGACAATTCCCTCCCTGTCCCTCGATCCGCCCATCAATCTGCGTCGCCATGAGACGCGAGAGGCAGGAAGGCAATCCAGGTGTGGAAAAGGGGGTTGAGGGAGGGCCATCAATCACGATGAATGGACCGCAGTCAATAGGGATGTGGTTATCTCGGAATCAATCTCTGTCTCGGCTTCCCTTAATGGAAGAAAAGGTCAGGGTCGAGTATCCTTTATGCAGGCAGATGTCCCCGGGAGAGAAATAAATTGCGATTTTTTTGCAGGCTTAGGATTTTCTTTTTAATATTCAGCCCCCGCTTTTTGCATTTGCATATTACTTTTTTAAGCTTCAGAATTTTTTTGGACTTCGGTTTTTTTTTGGCTTCAGATTTTTCTCTTGAAATTCGACTGCACATTTGGGGGACGTGTCTGCATTTTTTTCGTTTTACATCCCCTTGGCGTTCCATCAGTTGCATTGATTCGATTTTTCGCAGTGGGCAGGATGCACGTGTCGAAGCTTCATTTGCTTCTCGAGCGTGTATTCTGCCGCTTTTGTCTCATGCGCCATTTTATCCCCGTAGTCTTAATGCTTTAATGCTGAGGGAGGAAAGTTGATATGCGAGGTGTATAGCAAAAACCGCAAGGAAAAAAAAAATAATAATAAATATATATATATATATAAGGTTTAAAGAATAATACAAATAAAATATGAAGTAAAATTAAAATTTAATATAAATACAAATATAAATAAAATAGGTATTGAGACAATACATGTCCAGAGAACAGTTTCGAGGGAGACCCCGGAGGCAACGCGGGTTCGTTGATATGGGGAATAAAATTGCCCCAAATACGTCTCTGCATATTCCCCCACTTTAATAATCTCGGTTAGCCTTGAAATGCCCACTTTTTCCCCCCCCCCCCCTTCGTATTCCTGCGGCAATGCGTAATGAGAAGGCAAGAGGGGGAGAGGGAATTTTAGCCGTGGCGCAAACTCGGGTGGGGGAATGGGGCCCTAAAGAGCGGGGCGGGGCCCGGCCCCGTCCCAGTCTCATTCCACCCCGCGTCTCCGCTTCCGTGCAATCGGTGACATCCGTCGGCGCAGTCGGTGACATCACGCAGTTGCATGGAACTAGATGATGACATCGTGAGTTCCCGCTCCTTGAAAATTTCTCACTCGAGAGGAAAGTTCTCGCTTGAGATGGCCGGGAGGCTTTCGGGCGTTTTTGCAGAAAATAGCAGAAATTTCATACTTTTGACATTCTTCGGCGTTCATCAGGGATGCAATTCGGACGAAGGGACTGCTCGGCGTTTTAGCTGCTTAATGGCAGTTTTAGCTGCTTAGGAGTAATGTGCAGTCGGCTATTTTTACCTGAAAAATTCCGAATATAGCACACGGTTTATTTACAGTAGTGGAAAGGAACAAGATTGGACACAGGGAAATGTCTGTTTGGACGTTACAAAGGGGAAGGAGGGGGGAAGGGGGAGAGGAGGGGGGGGGGGGGGGGGGGGGGGGGGGGAAGGGGGGGGGGGGGTAGGGGAAGGAGGGGGGAAGGGGGAGAGGAGGGGGGGGGGGAGGAGGGAAGGAGGGAACGGGGGAAGGGTGACGTGCTTGCCTTTTTTAAATTTCCCTATCGAAAGTCTTCATTTATTTTTACCAATTTTTTTTGCCAGGCCGAGTTGTACGACGAGGTGGAGTTGTGCGGCGTGACCGTGGCGGAAACCAGCACAAACAACATCAATCACGAATTTCAGGTTTGTTACGCTTTGTTTTTATTATTTACTATTATTTATTTTTATCATATACAAAGCAGGTTTTTCCTTTGCATGAAATTCCCAAACTATGCCGGAATTGTTTAAATTGCATCAATTTAAAATTAGAATAATTTTTTAAAAAATATTATTGATTGACAATTCGAATTGAAGTTGAAGTTGAAGATCCTCAATTCAGCCGTGATAAATTAGTGAACTGTATTTATGTGGCATAGTTGTTTTTATTTGATTTTTCCCCTTTGTTAATCGAAATCGCCAAAACGTAAGTGGCATCGACCCTTGCTGGAGTTGTCTGCAAATGTGGGTCGATAACTGAAATTAAAATCGGTTTTTAGCTTCCAATAATCATGGAAAATAAAATAAAATAATGTTTGCATGCCTTGCAAAGATTTTGGCTCAAGAAATTTTCACAGTACTGTAAATCATTCTCCTAAAATTTTAGCTCCGGGCGTTTGCCGCATGCATCCCTGAAGAACCTTTTTGTCTATAAAAGAAAAATAAATAAGTAAAATAAAAGTATAAGGTAAAAAAAAAATAAAAATTGAATCGGGGAAAGTGGAGGGAGCGGGCAGCCCTGCCACTGACCCGGAGGACACGGCCGTCTCGCCAGGCTCTCTGGGAAGCAGGCTGTCGATAAGCGCGGCCGGGCTTTCCTCTTGGGGGTGGCGATTCGAGAGGATGAAATATTTAAATCAAAAAGTTTATAAATAAATAAGAAATGAAACATTTCGTGGGAAGTCGCACTTGGAAGAGGCCTGAAGATTTGGCTTCGAGTGCGTCGAGAGGAAGGCGTTCTTGGACGTCATCGGGGGAATTGAATGTGTCTTACGTCCGTCAGTGTCTTACATCCGAGCGGCTTCGGCCGGATGAATTGACGATCGATGACGGAATCCGCTGAGTAATTGATGGCGGTCTGCCCCGGAAGCGGGAATTCATGAATCGTGAGCACCGGCATCACTTATTCAGGGGACTTCCGCCGCTCTCGTGTGGAATGAATTAACAAAACGGATGTGCAAAAATAATGTACAAAAAAAAAGAAGACGTCGGGGAGACCGGGAACCAACTCGGTAGCGTAATTCCCCCACTTCCCGGATGAGGGAAATTATTTGATTCCATTCCGTTCCCTCCTGGAAGATCTCTCGAGGGAAACATTCGGGAGAGAATTCTAACTCTGGAGAGACATTCTAACTATAAATTGGCCTGCCCACCGCATGCCTAATTAGATTCGTCGAGAAGCGGTGAATTCCTGCATTTGACCTCTATTCGGCTCGGACAGGCTTATATTTTAGGTCGATGTCCCATTTAAATAGTTTTTTCCTTAGTAATCCCATTTTAACGTGCGTTAATCTATTTCGGATTTTTTTGTTTGGTACTGCAAAATTGTCGTTACCCCCCCCCCTGGAGGCTAGCGAAGGTTGCCAGATGTGGGGGCCGCATCTGAGTTGCGTGCTGTTCGTGGCGTTGGGCTTTCTAGTATCCATGTTTCCAGACCAGGAAAGCCCGTGATATCCGGGTGGTTGACCTGCATGACCATGCAGGCCAGCCACCCGGGTTTCAGGCCCGCGGCAAACGCGGTCTGCCTGGCATGCCAGGAATTATGGGGTACAGGAACGATGGACGTTGTTCTCGCACATTCCACTCGCGTATTCATCGTCGGCGCTCATCATGACAGACGCACTCGAGCACCCCAAGAAGCCGAATGTGACCGCTTACATTTACAAACCCAGGAGTAAGTGAAGGCGGTGGGGGAGGACAGGAAATATAAATAGATTCTCATGTTTTAATCATTACGGGAACTCTTGTCTCAACAGGAGCTCGTCCGTCTTTTGCTGACAGTAATGATGATAATCACAACTATCATCAATATTATTGGCCTTACGGCGTATTTTCCCCCTTTCTCTGCCTCTGTTTTTGTTCTCCTTCGAGCCGCCTCCATCGAGTGTTATATTCGGATCGGGCCCACGTCTGGCAATTAGGAGCTGCGTCGCACGGTTGCATAACTCTGTCGCAAACACACATCCGGCTTGAGGGGCATCCCCTTAACGGGAATGTCGCGTGTTCCCCATCACCCGGCGCTTGGGAATTCCCTGAATTCCCGGAATCGAAGTATTCCCCAGGCTCAGCCCTGATTTGGATATGAAAGAGGCTCGGAAGCGTCCCCCATCGGAGCTCCTTGGGGTTTCAGACGGGAAAGTGGAATTAGCGCAGCTTGACGGCGTGCTGTGTTAAGCGCGCCGGCTCGGCGCGCTTAACTCAAACTCAAAGGCGCTTTATTTTGGGGGAATGGAAAGAATCGTACCGTCAGTTATCACATTTAACGCCTCATGCTTGTTTAAAAAGGTTTTTTCGTGATTCACGCGTCCGTTCCCAAGAGGAAGGGCCCAGAAGGAGTAAAATAGGAAAATTAATTTTCATTGTGGCCGTTTGCAGCTGCAAATAGAAAATCTTAAAATGCGTAGAAAGCAGTCTGAACCGCCTCCTCTTTTATTGAATGGGGCGCAGAGTCTCCCGTGGATTAGAAAGAAGCACAGACGTTGCCAATTATTTAAACATGAAAACCGTTAATGGAATGTGATTGAGCAGCGACTTGGCGCGGGGAAAGAGGAGGCTATCGAGCATCCTTGGTGGCACCCCAATAGAACTCTTGCGGAGCAGACCCACGTGGAAGTCACGTGGACCCACATGGATGCCACGTGGACCCACATGGATGCCACGTGGCCGTTCATCTCGATGGCCTTCCTGCTGCACCTCCTTTCTCCCGCCTTGTTCTGCCCGCAGTGTTTATGAGACATTTCCATGGAGATCGCCTTGTTTACGCGAGACGGTATTGACTCTCGTTTCGGTAAAATGTTTCGATGAGTAATCCAGGTCAAGGAAGCCTATTCTTCCATGTTACGATCCCGCCCCATCTGGATCAAAGGGAATATTTGGAAAGAGCTTCAAAAGGAACGAACGGAACTCTTCATCAATCCGGAAAACAAACACGTGCCGACTTTCCTCCAGGCTTTATCGAGTCTGCTTGGATCTCATCTGTCTGGGATTTGAAATAAAATTGCTCCGACACGGCTCGATCGGAAGCTCGTATCAGTTACGCATTCAATCAGGGAACCTCGTAAGCTGGGATGCGCTGTGTTTTTACAATTCGATACCCTTTCCTCAGGATCGGATTCGGGCGATATTACTTGTCTCTGTGTGCAGCGCCATCGATTTTTTTTTGCCCCCTCCTGCCTTGGGAACAGGAGTGTCGTCTTACGTCTCAAGCATTGAGATTCGATTCTTATCTTAAAGATAAGAATCGAATTTTTACAAAGTTTGTAAAAATTTAGTTCGTGTAAAGATCGGCCATCTTACGAGCAGGGACTGCGGCCAATATTTCAATATTTTCAAATCACAAGTTTTGCCATGAACGTCTGTGCCTTGCTGCCACATGTTGGCATTGGTTACCATCTTAATGCTTTTTTTTTCTCTATTTCCTGTGCTCACGTGTACGAGGCTAAAAGACTCTGGCGATTTCCGCGAAAATTGCAAGAAAATTGTCTGGGATGCCCGAAATCCTTGAAATCCCCTGAAAATTCACATAAAAATTATCTTAAAAGTTCTGTATTATAAGGCTATGGATTTCGCATTCGTAAGAAAATGTAAAAATGGAACGGGGAGGGGGGCTCAGCGTTCCATCCAATTTACAAGTGAAAAATCCGAAGAGACTCATAGCAAACTCTGAATAATGCCTGCAAGTGGACTCATCAAATAGTAATTCTGAAAAAATTGCCTTTCTCTCATGCGACTATCTGCACGAGCCCCTGCCCTTTTTTGCATATTCAAAATTTTTTGAATAATTCTTCTTGCCTGGGCAAAGAGAATTTTAATGAAACTGCACGGGTTATCTCCTGGGAATGCGCCGACGTCATAGACCTTGGTATTGTGTACCCTTTTCATGGAAGCAACCAGCACCTATTGCGTCTAGGGCGTCCCCTTGGAATTGCCCTTGCAATGGCAATTCAGCGAAATTATCAGAGCCATAAGGAAGGGAATCCTTAGTGACTTGGAGCGAAGATATGAAATGGGATTCATTGATAATTGGAAATATGCATTTTATGGGGAGAGAGAGAGAGGTTCGTCTTTGGGGGAAAATTTGCATAAACCAAACGAAGAAAAAAAAAGTGGAATCTCGATCAGATGGAAATTCCTAAAGCAAGGACATGGGCGTTGCCTGGTTCCATGCCTACGAGACTGCTTCAAAAAAGTTGATCCCATTAGCGAGGAAATGCCAGGACCAGACCAGAAGTACTGCGCGAGAAAATGGAGCGGAGAAGAAACGGAAAGGTCAATGGATCGGAGACCTTTCACTTTGTTTTCCCGTTCGCTCTGATGGGGAGGGGGGCGCATTATTGTAAACCCTTAATTGCTCGTGTTCCCGGTCGCGGAAATGATGGCATACTTTTTTTCTTTTGAGAGTTTAGCAGAGTTTTCCTGAAGTTTGTCATGTTCCCAATTAATGGTTAAAATATATTTTTATTATATGCATACTCGTTACCAAATGGAAACATTTTGAAAATATTTGGTGAGTACCATACTTTAGTGTAGACCTTCAGCCTTATTCCTATGTCAAATTTTTAAGTTAAAAAACTACAACATTTTATAGATGTAAAATTTTCCCTTTTTTTTGTCTTATGGTACATTTTTTCTGACCTCTTACAAATTATTCCTATTGCAGTAACTTTTTTTGCGAATTTCTTCCATTTGTGAAAAAAACTCAAAATGGCAATCAAATGACCTGATTTCGACAGTTTGATGGAAAATGTATTTTTGGTGTTTTAAGAAAATGTGAAGGAAATTTGATTTACTACAAGGGTTAAAATCAAGCCTGAATGAGTAGGGGAAAAAAAATAGAAGAAGCTCCCTCGCCCGCTGTGTTTATTTTTAGCCCGAGGGATCAATGACCAAGTCCGAGCAACAAATGGCATCGATGTCATCGGACAAAT